AAAGTATCATTCTTTCAGAACTTCACGTTACACCTACGTCAGAAAGCACGAAGAAGCCCTAAATCGTCGGCAAGCTGCGGCACATCACGACTCCGCGCACCGAACAAACTCGCATCCACCAGCTCTGGGCGCTGCCATGTTACCGATGACATCACGGCTCTTGAGAGGTCACGTGACGAGTCGTCACTCGGTTGTTACGGAAACCGAGCCAGCTCAGCTCGTTGCTATGGTACCGTGTGTGACCAATCGCGGTGAGAGGCGGCACAGGGAAAAGCGTGGCGCTACTCTGGCAGCTACGCTGCCATATCGAGTGGCTCTAGTCGCAACGGCTGGACCACAATAAATACGAAGTATTCGGCGGTAGTCTTTCTGCCTACGCGAATACAACAGTAACTATGTCTACATTACTACAAAATAAACTCTAGATGTCCTACGTAAAACCAAGATAAACTTATTTTTCTGTTTCCCGTGTCGTACATCGGATCCCCATAGTGCACCGTGAAGACGGCGAAGGCGCCACAATATTCCCGGTCTACTCCGACCGAGAAACACTCCAAACGCGCCGGCAATTAGGCTTCCCCTCAAACGCATGTTTTCGTCGTAGATTTTAGGGGCCGAGGTGCGCCTCTGTCCGATAGACCTCGGGTCTCTGGCCACCGGCGTGGCGGCCGCCACGGAGGCGGTCACGGACGGGTGGTGCTCGAGACCGGCATACCGATGGCCCGTTTCCGCCGCTGCACTCGACGGCCGGCTCGGCAGCAATTGAGCCGGCTGAGTGGCTTCGAAGGCGCGAGGGACGCCTGCTTGCCTTTTCCAGGCTAATATTTATACCACAACCTTGCTGGTTATGGACGCAGGACCCATATACATTCGCACGCAACGCCACTTGATCGAAAAACATCTTTGCCGGCCGCGCTTCAAGCATGAAGAGGGACATGTTTGTTCTCATTCGCAAAACCTGACGACGTAGCGTGGGGACGAAGTATCGACGTGGTCACGAGGACGACTTCATGGTGACGATATTTGAATGCGGCTGACAAATCGAACGCTAGCATTGCGTGAACACTCAATTGGCGTTCGTAATAGTCATACCTCGACGAGGATTCGGGCCGGTGGAGTTTATTTGGTGCGTTCTTAACTTGTATCAGACGCTAAAGTTGAGGCTTGGGCTAGTTGATGCGGCATACTTTGGGATTAAAACCAGCGCAAAATACGAAAGACCAGACGAAGAAGTAACGCGGACATAGCGCTGACATCGGAAGAAGGCAGAAGACAAGCAGGCGAAATACGTTCGCAGCAAAAGCGCCGTCGTTATGCAAACGCATTTTAGTTTTTACTTTAAGATTTGATTTGATTGTTTGCAATGATGTTTAAACTAAAGGTACATTACGAAAAAAATTATGCTCACTTTTGCTCACTTTTTAATAAGCCACGGTGGTCACGAGAAGTCTCGATAACGAGGTGGCTCCATGTATCAATACGATCGCCAAACACGACCCGCCATTCGACTTGGTCGTCTGCGTCGACGCCCGCCGTTGACCCTGTTACAAAGTGTAGAAAGCTACACAATCTAACTTTACAAAAAAAAAAAAAAAAAAAAAAAAGACCTGTAAAATACGCCTTTGACGAAAAGTTTAGATTGCTGCATGCAGGCGTCGATTTTTACGGTCCTTTTTAGATCGAGCCAGGTGATTTGGGACACCCTACATGCGCGCTCTCACGCCTCAGTATTTGCAGTGTTGGTAAAAATACGAGTTCTATTTCACACATTTAACGTTTTAGGTATAATGCATTATTCATGATACTAATTTGTATTGGCTCAGGAGGTCCACGGCCCTGTAGAAGCCAACAGCCCGTACTCTATGAGAAAAACGAGAAAAAGTACGGTTTTCCTCGTTTTTATGTTGTCGGCACTGAAACGTTTTGACTGCTTTTCGGGAAACCTGCAAAGTAGTTTGTGCACAAGTAATGAAACTTACAGGCTTGACAGTTCTTATAGAATATAGATAAATGCTTTGTGGTCGCGTCTAGGACTTTTTGGTAGACGGACGTTTTGGTGTGGGACATTTCGGTGGCAAACCAATCAAAAGCACGAGTTTTTTTTCTTTCTAAACGTAATAATTACCATTTTAGCCAGAAATTATGTTTTCGCACTTTATAATTTTGTAGACTTGGTCGTCCATTTACTGTCACTTACTGGTATACTACCTAAGTGACTTCGTTAGGCGCAACACCATCCTGATTGCACACGTTGGACGTTTTCTAACGTACGCACTGGACGCATCACATCATGTTTACGTGTTGGTTCGCTAGAGGCGTTCTCTGATTCTTCTGTAAGGATATGGGCTTTAATGTTGGTAGTTCGTGTAAGAAAGGCCCCAGCAGCAAGAAATTTGAGAATGTTCAAAATTACCCGAGTAAAAGATGAGAAACTTCGTGGAACTTGGAGGCGTCCTGTGTCCTCTTTCTTGCACCAAGTTTTCCATCGTTTACCGAAGTCTCGGGCTGTTTTCAACATGATCAACATCCACCAGCTCGCCTGCACACTCACCGTTTTTGTTTTGTTTGTAAAGCTCGAGAGGGTTGTTTTTTATGATAGCTGAGAACAATTTGGAATACCTTCAAATGTGCGTCCACCAAGAAATCGTATAGCATCGATTTTTTAGCACACCTGACAAGAGAAATTAAAGTTCTTCCCATGCGTCACTTGTCAGACGTTTTGTAATACAAATGAAGTCATAAAACACATTGTTAACGTTTGTTACCAAGCATGTTTCTAACAGGCTTTAAATATAAACCATTTAAAAAAATATAAAAAAAAATAAAAAAAGTATAGAAATATTTTTTTCCTCCGGACAGTTTACACCACATCTCTTATCTGTTGCAAATAACACTCAGAAGTGCATTCAGTAGCGGTACAGACAGCTGCAGGCGCTCGATATGAAGCTGTTCAATGCGAAGCTGCAGTCCAGATATATTGAGCAAGAGGTTACAGTTCGTCCTACTAAAACTCACAGGCAACAACCACCACAACGGATGGCTCAGTTGAGCAGACAATAGAAAAGGACACAGCGGTGAATACATACAAAGGTATTGATATCAAGTTGGTTGCAAGCGGTAAGGCTTTGAACGACCCCACCCCATATTCAAAATAACAACCATGTTCTTTCTTGTCCGGGTGGTTGTTCCAAAACCCGAACCACTTCGTGTCCAGGGTATTAGGAAGCCCTCCACAACCACAACAATGATTTTATCACCTTTTGCAAACTTGCCAAAAAAACCGCTTGGGCTAGCCATGCATGCTGTCGTTGAAATGGTCGTTTCCGGTTCGGAAAGCACAGGAAACAAGCTATCTGACCAACTAAAAGAGTGGAGCGTCAGCTGTCAGCGTAGATCATGGGTGGCCAGGCTGACCCAGTTTAAGAGTCGCAAACAAAACCACTAAACCTCCAAGAGCCGCCTGGAAGATAAATGGCTTAAAAAAAAAAAGAGGGGGGGGGGGGTCCAAACTTTTTTAGATCAATAAATGAAACGTGAACTATTGAAGACAGATCTATGCGAGTCAAAAGCAATAGCACAAGACTACCAAACCGCAACCTGCAGTCTTTTGATTTAAAACGCGTTCCTTTTCACGTCTTGGGGAAGTGCTCGCGTGGCCGGGAGGGAAGCGGGGAAGTGTGCGTGTGTGTGTGTGTGGGGGGGGGGGGGGGGGCGGGGAAGTATGTTAGGTTTACTATACTCTATATTATTTTGATGTGTCAGTGCCCCTTTAAGTCCAGACGCAGCCGACGCTACGAGGTGATGAGACCAATCGAGCAGTGTCAAAAGCTCACAATCACTAGGCCTTTTTTTGGGTGATTGATTCAACAATGAAAGAACACGCTTACAGAAACTTGACGGGACACCATGATGGTGCGCTTTTAACGTTGTCTGATTGGTCCCATCAGCTCGTAGCATCGGCTGCGTCAGGACGTGAGGGGAAACAAAGTTTAGAAATGGCCGCAGACCGGTCTCCGTCCGGTTTGCGCAGAGGAATTCCGCCATCACTGTGCCACGTGTACTTAGAACTAAGTCCTTGGGCCCAGATTTTTTTTCTTTTTTTTCTTCAGAAAAGCAGAAAGCAGTTTATTTCAGTCAAGCTCTCAGATACGAAGAGCTTATCGACCGAATCATGACGGAATCATGATCCGTCCCAGTGCTGGAATGTGTTTGTTTTGCTTGTACAAACTTTTTTTTTCTCCTGCGCTGACCGCAAGGTTCGCAGTATCGTAAATGAATAAACTTCTTTTTGCTTTTTCATCGCTTGTCTTTATCATCCCTGTTTTAAGAAACGGCAAATTAAGCCCAACGTGTTTTGGTTTCGTATTTTTTTGAAAGCCGTGGCAGCTCGAGTTGAAGGCATGTAGTTTGTTTGGCAGGTTGCCGTTTCAAGTTTTTTATATCCCATGATATCTGAGGTTAAGGCTCTGGCTCCTTCATTCAATGTATCAATTTCAATTTGAACCTGACCCACTTTATTGTTTTGTGCTTCAATTTGTTGTTCTGAACTTTAGTTCCTTGCTGTACATGAGGGGGATCTTGTAAGCATGATTAAGCCGTAAGACTTTTTGAGTAATGGTTTGGTTAATTATGCACAACATACAGATTATGTAGAAAAAAAAACACATTAAGCATGTAAGTAAACAGCAAACATAACCGAGTAACAATTTTATTATTAACAAACAATACTAAGGTTCGCCTGGCAAAGAGAACTGAATTTATTCTCGGTTGTTTCAAGTACAATTGCTCCAGGGCAAAAGGACGATAGAATGTTTCGATCCAATGTTTTGTTTAGCCTTCTCAGCTAGGGTGGCGTACCTCGAGTAATTTTAAAGCGTATATAATAGATTTATTTACTCGTTTTACTATTCCTCTCGTAGCTACTATAGTAACTAATAGCCCCTTTTTTTGTAGACCGATCTCGGGTGTGAGCTTAAACGGCTCCTCTCTTTTGTGCACAGCTACACCAAACTTTCGGAGCACATTCGGCGCAGCGCCCCCGGTGAGCTCCAGTGCTCGGTGTTTTGCGGCGGGGCCCGCTGCAAGTACGAGAGCGGCAGCGGCTGGTCCGACCGCGACAAAGCCATACAGGGAATCTACTCGCACTGGTGAGTTCCCACACTGGCAAAGAACCGCCACTGCCCGGAACCGGTGGATGACTTGGCCGCCCCAGGTAACATAATTCTTTGGGACAAAATTCGTTATTTGTCTTGGAATCTATGGTATTCAAAACCCGAGGAGGCTAAGGTAGAGCCAAACTTGACCCTTTTTGGCCAGGGTCTGGGTATCTTGGCCCTAATGGGTAAAAGAAGTGTCAATATTAGGCTTACCCGCAGGAACTTTGGCTCTCATTTGTCATAACCTGAAATAGCCAAATGTATGCTAGAGCATAACCTCCTCTATACTTACAGAGCCTGGCAGTTCAAGCCATAGAGTGCCCGGTCGCTGCTTTGGAACGCGAGGACCTGGTAGCACAGAGCATTTTTCGGGGAGCCTGTAGTCAGCGCACAGCTCTTGAAGCGGCGAGGACCCGAAACATGGTTCCAATACCCGACGAGAAAAGAAGCGGTAGCCCGAGGAACGCGAGAAGCACGAGCGGACATTCCATCGCTGGGGACAAGTGTGTTTTGGCGTCTCGCCGTAGCGGGGCGCCCATTACATGCCTCTTGTCTGCCGCTCTACCTTTTCACTTTCGGCGGCCACGCCTCGTGGCGATCTGCCAGGCTTTGTCAGTATATAGGAGACTATAACTAGAGTTATGATTCACCCCTAACGATTGAGTATTCATGTGGCAACGTTAGGCTTATATTTCTAAACAAATGCCATCTTCAAACTTCACTGCTGGTTCCTCGGTTTCTACTTGGCATGTTTGGCTCCGGTCTGACACTCTGGCAATTACGTGGCGAGCCAATTAAACGTCATAATAATGCGAAACAAAATCACTGTACGTTAACTAACGCCTTGGTGCAAAAATTTGGTAGGCAAAAGTTAGGTCCCCAGGATTGCTAAACTTGTGCCAAGTTAGCCGTCTCTTTGGAGTGCTACATGGGATTAGTTTTGGCATTATGACAGAAGGTGCCGGTACCGAAGAAATATATATAGCATACTTTTTAAGATGACTTGTGCAATTATATCATCCACGCGCTGTTGTAGTTCTCCACACATGGTAGCACACGCGCCGAGTCACTTTATGCGGCGGTGCCGAGTACGTTTTGGCCAGAGCACTTTATTTTCTGAGGGACGATTGTACAAAACTTCATTTATTTCAGTCCAAAACTGCCGGCCGGAGCTGACTCGTGAAATGAGGCTTTTATATTGTCCAAGATTCTCTAATCCGGGATTTTGTTTCTGCGTGCTAATTGAATTAATTATTTAAGAAAAAGCGATAAAATGTACCGTGGAATTTATGATGATATGGTAGTGTTAATATTACGAGCAACTACGCGTTTCCCAGCATATGGCCCGACACAAACACTTGTGGATGCCCACTTTAGCCACCGCCTGATCAAGCACCGCCTCGACTGCCCCGAAGGAGATCACACAACGCAAGGTACAAAGGATCTACTGTCTGACAGTTTGACTATCTGGACGCAGTGCCTTTTCTTTTACCATTCTGTCGCCGAAAATCCCCGAGCTCGCTGCTCCAGCTCTGCCCCGTGTCGTGTTTAGAGCGCAGCTCTTAGGCGCCCGTTCCCGGCTTGAGCGGCGTCGGCGTCGCCGTCGCCGTCGGCGTAACCGCGAGTAACCCTCGTAACCCTAGTGAGGGTTACGAGGGTTACGAGGATTACTCTCACGCGGGTTACCTTCACGAGGATCACGAGGGCTACGAGGGTTACTGACCCTCGAAACCCTCACGAGGGTTACGAGGGTTAGTTACCCTCAAAAGGGTTACCCTCACGAGGGTCACGAGAGTTATGAGAGTTACCCTGTCGAGGGTCACGAGAGTTACCCTCACGAGGGTCACGAGAGTAACCCTCATGAGGGTCACGAGAGTTACCCTCACGAGGGTCACGAGAGTTGCCCTCACAAGGGTTAGTAGGGTTACCCTCACGAGGGTCACGATGGTTATCCAGGTCACGTGACCCCCCCCCCGGGGCCACGTGACCTGGGAACACCCCCTCGAGGTCACGTGACCCCCCGCTCACGTCATCGTCACTGATGACGTCATCAGTGACGTTACTGATGACGTCACCGGCATCTGCATCGTCATCGTCATCATCAGTGACGTCACTGATGACGTCACCAGCATCCGCATCGTCATCGTCATCTGCAATGACATTATCAGTGACGTCCCTGATGGCGTCGCCAGCATCCGCATCGTCATCATCACTGATGACGTTATCGGCATCGTCGCGTGACCCCCCTACGTCACGTGACACCCACGTGACTCCCACAAGGTCACGTGACCCTCAAGGTCACGTGACCTGAGGTCGCTTGACCCCCCCCCCCCCGCCCAGTACCCTTCCCTCCTCCTCCTCAAGAGCTGCGTTCTAATTCGGCGTTACAGGGAGTTGTAAACGACTTTCATTTTTTCTTCTTCCCACTTGACTTCCCCCCCCGGGGGGGAAGTCATGGGGATCGTGACCACTAGGGGGCCGGACATGGGCCCGCGGGGCCAAGTGGGAAGAAGCCCCCCTCCCCCCCCCCTCCACTGCGGGGGGGGGGGGGCTTGAAGACGGGGATAATTATGGGCCGCCTATGAGGAAGTCATCGGGCTCTGACACGGGCGCGTTCTCAACGGCCACTGGAGCAGCGACGGGCATAGGGCAGGCCGCAAACGGACTCCGACAAGAGCTGCGCGGCGACGGCTGCGGGCCAAGAACGGCGTTAGTGGCGGCGGCGTGGCCCCCAAGAGAATAAATGAGGCCCCGGGCCTCGGGTTCGAGCAGGTCGGACTTGTCTCGCCAGAGCAGTTGAACCGCCGCCTCCACGTTGGCAGGGGGAGACAGCGTCTTCAGCTGCTCCCGGTTCATGCTTCCAGCCTCGCGTGTCTCCGATTGTACAAGGGCTACCCCACAGAGCCAGCCGCTTTTCTCAGACCCAGGGCGCGGACCAGAGTTGGTAGCGTATGCCCTCGGATGGGCGGCAGGGTGGTGTCGCCGCGCTGCCCTTCCTCTGGCCTCGGTTGTTGTTTGCGTTATCGAGAGACGAAGTGGCCTGCCCCATGATCTTCGGACGCCGTTCTCGTGTCCTCAGCGTGGCAGGGGGCCTGTTCCAAGCTGATCCACCCCCCCCCCCTCCCCACCCCGCCCGCGGACGGGACAGACCCGTTCCGCAGAAGATTCGCCACCGCTTCAGCAGACAGACCTTCTCCCGCTGGGCTCGGTTGGAAGGCTCCATTGATACCGACCGGCTCCACTGCTGCCACTCCCTCGTGGTGGCCGCATCCACGGTTTGGTGCCCTGTGAGTCGGATCACCGAAATCCAGGGTGGCCTCCTTGACTGACTGGGGAGGCCGTGGCGTCTATGCTCTTCCCTGGTGGGCTCTCCTTGTGGGGCCGTCCATGAGAGGCGCCACGTCGAGCTCCTCCCCAGCGGTCACTCCAGACCGAAATTCTTTGTGATTGAACACTGTTAAAGGCGTGCATAATTATTCCACTCTGCGCCACCCTCTCTTCCGAAGACCCGGGCTGTTGTCAATATCTTCACGAACCGGCTGACCACTGCGCCTTGTCCGCGTTCTGGGCCACGCGCGATAGGTCGCTGGAGCGTTACGCTCCCCATCACTTGGTCGCAAAGGGAATGGCCGTTTAAATAGGCGACGCAAACGCTTCCAGACTGCTCGTTTACACTGAGCTGAGTGAGTTCGTAGGTAAGACGCGACACTCGCGTGGTTACCTCGTAGGGCCCTTTCCGCTTTGGAGCCAGCGAGGCAGCGAAACCGCAAGCCGCGCTGCTCAGTAGGGGGGCTCTCCGTAAAACCCCGTCCCCGACATTGAATTCCAGGTGACGATGACTGTCACCGCCCCGCGCCACCTGCTCGATCCTAGCGGAATCGACATCTTGCGGTGGGACCAATGATATCGCGGATGGCAACCTCCCTCGCGTGGTGACTCAACACTGGCTGCATGAAGGCTTCCCGCCTCTCGGCTTTGCTTTCTGGAAAGCCGGGCCTCTACGAGTGTAGCGGAATACGCTCCCTCCCCTCAACTCCGGCCAGGTCGCGCCGCGACATCACTTATAAAATGTCTCCCTGCCACTGTCATGACCAGCCGGAGCGGAGTCGTGGAAGCACCCGATAAACCACTTCCCTAGCCTCCTGGCAGTCACAACCTTGAAGGGAAAGTCGTCTCTCTGACCCTTCGTCAATTGTTGGGATGACGCGAAGCAACAAAGCATCTTGGCCCAGCAGATACGAATCGCAATGCACATCAACTAGCCCGCCAGCGTTCCCGGTGTCAACTACTATTCCCGCAATATTTTGGACACCGGCTGACAAAAGCCCGTCTGCTCCCCGGGCCTCGACAAGCTCTTCTAGGCTCACCACTTCACACCAAGTCACGCTACCCTGCTCTCTCGTGCAGCGTCTTATAACTGTTACGATACCCGATATGGAAGTCCGCGATCTGTCCTGTTCACGCGTAGCCGGGCTCCAAGACGTCGGTTGGCGGAGGAAGTTATGTACGCATTGAAATTCTGTAGGAAATCGTAGATCAATCTTCCATTAGAGTATCCTGAATGCATCGACGTTGGGGTGTTCAATCGCGGTAGGGGCACAGACGTAGGCTCAGCATTCCAACACCCGCGAAAGCTCCTCGAACATAGCCGTCATGGCGCGCATGAGCTCACCGATACCTCTCGTATCCACCACCGGAGCTGGAGTTCCAGGCACCTACAGCGTTCGGGAACACATGACCCCACCCACCGGAACACACCCGGCGGCGTCCGACACTCGCTGAGCATCGCTAGGACAAATTGTTCCTTCTCGAGGCCACGCTCAACCCTGTATCGACGGGCAACGTCGGTTCTCAAAATATCGAGCGTTCAGCGAGTTAGGTGCGCCATTTATTCAAAATGGTCGAGGAACGCGTCTAGTGTGACCTCCAAGAAAAGACTGAAAGTGAGGACCAGCTCACCGGCCCCACGTCTGAGTGCCAGATAATGTAGT